AGTTCCAAGGTCTCAGTGTAGTTACAACGGCTACCCCGCCCTTCAAACCGAAACGCATTACTTTTACTGCTTCACGGCAGAAATAGGCAGGGTGTTGGTGCCTACCCGCGCGGACTCACAAGAGGTCCTACCAACAGTATTTATTATAGAACTGAGACTTAGAACTCACGCTTTCTTTATCTCTAATGTCTTTCTTACAATTTTCTTTAATTTTGTTTATATCTATTAGCTCCGGTAACAACTTAACAAGCTCGTTCGTTCATCTAAGAAAAAGAAAAAAATGTCTACAAAAACCTGCCTATTATGATGGCCGTCATGAATAATCTACCGAAACTGTAGTATTTAGGTGACCGGCCAACACAAGGCGTATCGTAAACTCGCCTAACCGACATTTAAATATATTAGCGTCATAACTATTGTCATTTATGTGACGTTTGAACTATACGACCTTCATTTGACAATCGAGAGAATTTAAAAACGCGAATCGCTTTAAGATAAATTTCATTATAATGTAAAGTGCAATGTGGGCAATTCAAATGGCCATTAACTATCAATAACGACTAAAGTCCCACCTACGTACCGGCTGAAGATATGTAGGACAAATGAATAGCTGCTGTAAATCTTTCCCGGCTCGTGTGTTACTATTGAATGCTGCTGCTGCTGGTAAAGTAGAGTAAGGAACCACCAAGCATCAAGTAGGTATTATAAAGTGATCGCTCTATCATGATTCTCTTCTGTAACACGGATGTCTACAAGATATTGGTTTTAGTAATAAGCCGCCCACTGCGTTTAATGCTGTAATTTTCTTTTGTTTTTTTTTTTTTTTATGTGGAGCTTTATAAATTGATGACTCATATGACGCATTACTAGCACGAAATTATGAACATTTTCTAACATTGCTTACGTTTAGCACTACGTTATTAACATTGCTATTGCTGGGGTTCGGGGACCATAATTCAATTTAACGGATAAAAAAATTGTTTTAAAAAATAAAATTTAAAAAATATTTTCTTCGCCTTTTGCGAGTCGTAGACTAAATTAAAACTACTTTTACGGTTTAAGCTCACTTTTTTTTACTGTCATTAATTTATTAGGGACGTTTCGAATACTTTACAGTTTCATAGTCACTTAATATTAAGATATAAGTTCATTATAAATTTAAAATATGTAAAAACAAAAGTATAAAAACTTTAATAGCGATCTGAACTGACATTTAATACAGTTTATTTATAATAATACTAGATGATGGTTTTTTTTTTGATAACGCCATCTTGTTGTGTCTTTAAAGCGGTTAGTTGCTCTCAATTAAGAAAAATAGTATTATTATTCGCCAATAGATGTCGGGAAGAGTTGATTATTGAAAACACGAATAAAACAACATTTTCTGAAAATAGATCGTAGCTAGATCGATTTATCGCCCCCGAAATCCCCTGTATACTAAATTTTATGAAAATCGTTGGAGCCGTTTCCGAGATTCAGATTATATTAGGTATATATGAATATACAAGAATTGCTCGTTTAAGGGTATAAGATACAAGTCCATTATAAATTTAAAATATGTAAAAACAAAAGTATAAAAGCTTTAATAGCGATCCGAACCAGACAATTATTTTTTTATCAGTCCTTATTAAGCCGTCATATAATAATTTATAATTGATCCTTGATTCCTTTTTCAAATTTTCAAGTAACTCTGATATCTCAAAGTTATCGAAAATTAATTTTGAAAGATTTTTTTCCACAATACAAGTAACAATGTCAATTACAAAATAAAAGAACTAATGAAATGAATAAAATAAATGTAAATCTTGATGTGAGTGGTTCTGGTATTACGACCAGTGGATGAACACTAGTGTATGTCACATAGTCAACCAACCATTGAGATTTAGCGGTAGCTCAGGGCAGGAAAATTAATTGGCAATTATTTTTTTGCTTAGATGGGTGGACGAACTCACGGCCCGCCTGGTGTTAATTGGTTACCGGAGCCCATAGACATATACAACGTAAATGCCGCCACACACCTCGAGACATGAGTTCTAAAGTCTCACTTTTAACAGTACAACGGCTGCTCCGCCCTTCAAGCCAAAACGCATTACTGCTTTACGACAGAAATAGGCAGGGTGATGGTACCTACCCGCGCGGACTCACAAAACGTTCTACCACCAGTAAAACCGGTCATCTGCATTTATAAACACTAAAAAAGCTTAGTAATCACTTACTGTACGAATAGTGCCACGACGTCTACCTGTGCGGGCTCAGCGTTACTCAACATCGTTAAAGCGGTACATACAAGTGACAAAAAATCGAATCACATTTAATTAATCCGATGCATTAAACAAACTTCGCATCTAACTAGAAGTCGAAGTCGTCGTGGCCTAACGGATAAGACGTCCGATGCATTCGTGTTGAGCGATGCGCCGGTGTTCGAATCTCAGGCGGGTACCAATTTTTCTAATGAAATACGTACTCAACAAATGTTCACGATTGACTTCCACGGTGAAGGAATAACATCGTGTAATAAAAATGAAACCCGCAAAATTATAATTTGTGTAATTACTGGTGGTAGGACCTCTTGTGAGTCCGCGTGGGTGGGTACCACCACCCTGCCTATTTCTGGCGTGAAGCAGTCATGCGTTTCGGTTTGAAGGGTGGGGCAGCCGTTGTAACTATACTTGAGACCTTAGAACTTATATCTCAAGGTGGGTGGCGCATTTACGTCGTAAACGTCTATGGGCTCCAGTAACCACTTAACACCAGGTGGGCTGTGAGCTCGTCCACTCATCTAGCAATAAAAAAAAAAACACGACGATGATTCAATCAATACTTTGTGCACAACATAATCACTAATAATGATTGACGTGTTCCGCACACTTTATATTCTAAATCTGACGTCCGCCGAAATAAAATAGCATCGCTTAACAAAACACAGCCAAGTCTAAATTCCACTCCACAGAGCTTTCTTTACATTCCGTTAACTCGACTCAACAAAGCTCCCTTAAAGTGAGAAAAAAAAGGTGAAATTAACATGTACGTAAGTAAATAAGAGTCGGATTTCTATCGCAATTGCGTCAAAGGTTTTATATTTGCGAGATCTTTTAGTAAAAAACACGCTAACATTGCGATGGTGCTTCTTTTATTTGCATTACTGTGACTTGTGACGTCATTGTTCACGGATGCTTGCATGATTTCTTAATGGACAGATCAGAACGTTAATAGTCACTCGTGAATTACGGTTGCAAAAAGTCAATTTTAGGGGCTCATGGCCACGTGGTGCTAAGTGGTCATCGGAGCCCATAGACATCAACAAAATAAACCCCGACACCCGCATTGAGACTTGAGTTCTAAGTCTTAGTTTTAACAGTACAAAGGCTCTACACTTCAAAACAACACGCATTAATGCTTCACGGCAAAAGTAGGCGGGGTGGTAGTACCTACCCTTGCGGGCTCACAATGGGAGACTACCCTTTGGAAAATGAACTGGGTTATGAAGAAACTGCACGATTTGCAAGGAAAAAAGTTCGGCTGACCCCACAAATGCTTTGCGAGTACGATTATTACAAGAATAAGAATCTTAGGTACTGGTTATCCGAATCTAGATGTCTACAGGGTTATAAATCCCAATATTGTCGCGAAATATACTTTAACGACTGCGGGATCCACATTTAATACCATACGCTGATCAACCCATAAATTGAAAAAAATAATCCTCAGAGCGATCACATTACTGTTTTTGAATTTTCTGATATTTTGAATGTCACATTATACAATAATTAGCTTGCACTAAATAACTCAAGAATTCGTTTTTTGATCTGACGTAATTCAAACACGGAATCCTCTAACAATAATAAATTTTACAAATCAAAAATTCGTTGAACTATAAAAAGTATATCAGAATGAGCGTAATTTTAAAATTAATTTCATACGATATAAAACCGTATACATAATTATATATAAAAGGATTCGCACGTTTTTCTTTGTATTTTGGAACATTTCTTATGTTCGAAAACAAAGAATGATAATTTCCGACTTCAGTCTCCGTAAAACAGTTGATATAATAAAACGATTATAAATGCAAATTGAAAGGTCAACACCGAAGACGCGAATGAAACGAAAGAATTGTTCTTAAATTAAATGTATCTATATATTAATACGTGAAGCAAAAACTTTGTATCCCTTTTTACGAAAATTGCGCGGACGGAGGAGTATGAAATTTTCCACACTTATAGAGAATATAGAGAAGAAACGCACAATGCTAATATTTTTTTAAAATAATGTATAAAAGATACATTAAATCAATAAAGAAAACATTACACACACTACATACCATGTATTTGACGCACACATGCATGCATACTTACTATTTATTGTCAAACTTTTGTTCTTGACGTCTGTGCTCAGATTGAGAATAGATTAAATATTGTTTGTCTTTATTAATATTTTTTTATCGTGTAGCCTTGGCGAAATTTGTGATTATAGAATTATTAAATACAATCATAATAGTGTACAAACTTACAATTCCAATTAATTATAGTCGAATTTCGACTACTGCGGGACCTCTAGTTTGATTAAGTGTTTGAACATTTTTCGCTTAAGTATTTGCTTTACTGTGGAACATTTACTTCTCGTTTTTTTTTTAAGCGCAAAATTTTTGTTCGTAGAAAAACCTCAACGCGGATAATATGTAATTAACGAATGACGTATGGTTACGTCAACTAAAAAAATGATGTTTTTTGCGTCAAAACTTTTTTTTTAAGTAATCTGAAATACAGGATATCTATCGGTTTGTCTATTTGAAGCAATTTATTAATAATAGTGTTTATTAATCTAAAATCGTTAAATCGTTATCAAAACTAAAAAAAAAAATTTCCTATACATCTTTATTTGCTCATATATTTTATATTATGTCAGCGATGTCAAAGATTAAAATTAGCAAGTCGATTTATGGAAATACCTGTTTTTTTTTAACGGTCTATAAAAATAAAAAAAAAAAAAACATCACTTACATTCTGTTTGTAAGTTACACGTAATTCCAATAAAACGTATTTCGTTCATAACCACTTCAAACTAAAAACACACTTGTACAGTATTAATTAAAAATTATATCATAAAAAAAAAAAAAAACTTAATTTATCATCGTCATTCGTTAAGATAAGAAAGATACACTGATTGTATTCGTTCAAAAACACATGTAATATTTTCACTTCACTGCACACTGGAAATTCTTTCATAATTCATTTAACAGTACGTCGTATGATATTACATCGTATATGATACGTTATGGCTACTCCAAGCAGACGTCCGCATCGAACAAACGTCGCGGGAAAACTGACAGTACCACCGAAATTCAACTGCTAAGCGCGGTTTCGATGTTGCGCACCTGTAGAGTTCGGTATTCCATTATTTTATAGCCTTATCTAAATAATATCACGTAATGATATAACATAGATTTTATCAATGACGTCCCTCAAGATTAAGATGTTGTTGAATTAGTTCGATACATCATAGTTTTTTGATAAGAATTCAAACGCCACACAATTTTGGAGTTTCCCGCATTTTAGCATGGAAATTTCACGATGGAGACTTTCTTTGTGTTCTTAAATTTTCATTTATAGAATGTTTTTTCGCATTGCATGTCGCATTCGCAAAAATCGACGTCATCAGTAACGAATTCGTTTTTTTTTTTTATTGCCTAGATTGGCTCACGAGCTCACAGCCCACCTGGTGTTAAGTGGTTACTGGAGCCCATAGACATCTACAACGTAAATGCGCCACACACCTTGAGATATAAGTTCTAAGGTCTCAGTATAGCTACAACGGCTACTTCGGCCCTTCAAACCGAAACGCATTACTGCTTCACGGCAGAAATAGGAAGGGCGGTGGCACCTACCCGTGCGGACTCACAAGAGGTCCTACCACCAGTGACTACGCAAATTAGAATTTTGCGGGTTTGACTTTTTTTTTACACGATGTTATTCCTTCACCGTGGAAGTCAATCGTGAACATTTGTTAAGTACGTATTTCATTAGAAAAATTGGTACCCGCCTGCGGGATTCGAACACCGGTGCATCGCAACAACGAATACACCGGACGTCTTATCCTTTAGGCCACGACGACTTTCCAAGGGAAATAATGAGTTTGACCTTCTTTTGTTTTTTTTTTCTGGTTTTCTCTTCTCCAAAATGAAGTTTGGTTTAAATTTAAGAACCAACTCAAGTATCGGTCTCTGGTCATATTGGTGCTGTTTTTTTTTTCTGAAACTACAACGACAATAAGATTGGTTTTGTTTGTTTTTTGCTCTCGATGAGTAGACGAGCACAACCTGATTTATACAAGGTAATCAAAACTAATGGTGTAATTAATTATGCATTCCACGGTTCACAGGTATATTTTTTATTATCTACCTATTCTAGTAACCTTGAGGGGTTATTCTAGATTCGCCGAACTAGTGGGTGAGCTCACGGGGCTCAAACCTGACGACATTGCTAGCACGAACCCTAGCAAGGGCTGTGCTTCGCAGAATCTACCATCGGATCGGAAACGCGACCCACTGAGAAGATCCGGTGAGAAACTCAGTGGGCTGTGTCTGTGGGCTAATTTACTCGCCGAGCCCTTCGTCGCATGCGACGGGTTCGACGAAAACGATGACCGCTGCTTCAGGTACAGCACCGTTAGTGGATTGAGAGGATCCGAAATAACGTGTTTTGGGCGACGTCGACCCACGGTTACAGTTACGGGACATCATCAACATAAATTGGCAGGCGGTAGGCAGCGGCTTGGCTCTACCCCTGGCATTGCTAAAGTCCATGGGCGACGGTAACCACTCACCATCGGGTGGGCCGTATGCTCGTCTACCTACAAGGGCAATAAAAAAAAAATGCTGCGAGCCACCTAGACACATGAATTATAAACCATACATCAGCTGCTTAGATTATCGTCGGATCTTCTCAGCGGATCACGATACCGATTCGGAACTAGATACATTTGCGAAATAGCTGCTCTTGAGCTGTTAGGTCTTCTATGGCATCCTATTAGCAAATTCTCCCCTCCTGGTTGAGTGCATACTCCCCCGCTTGTCCTGGTGAAACTGGAATGGACTTCGAGCCACCAGTACTCATTCTTTTACAAAAAAGACACGAGTTCTCAGTTTTATAGGAGAGCGGCTGTTCCACCCTTCAAGCCCAAAGGGATTACAGCTTCACGACAGAAGAAAACAAAGGTGATGGTATTTACACTTGCGGACTTAAAGTACGCCCTATCACCAGTAAAAGAGACTACCCTATAGTTTTAAAATCGGCGTTTTCTACTTTAGGTTTAGACAACTTCATAGTGTCAAACAATAATAATATTATTATTATTATTATTATGATCATATATAGTTAGTTCCCACGACAAAATCAAGTGTACTATTTATCATTCGTCTGTAAACGCATGCAATATCGATATTAAATGAACGGATATATGCAGAAATAAACAATCCATATTGTAGCTGTTATAGCCCGCGAGCGAAAACTTGCCTATTTATGTCGCGAAATAGTCAAACTTTTCGATTCGAAAATTGACACAACTGCCCCAATAAAAGAGACACTGTGACCACATGTTACGTTATTTAAATGAAGTCCATGGGTTTTTTTTTTGTTGCTTAGATGGGTGGACGAGTTCACAGCCCACCTGGTGTTAAGTGGTTACTGGAGCCCATGGACATCTACAACGTAAATGCGCCACCCACCTTTAGATATAAGTTCTAAGATCTCAAGTATAGTTACAACGGCTGGCCCACCCTTCAAACCGAAACGCATTACTGCTTCACGGCAGAAATAGGCAGGGTGGTGGTACCTACCCGCGTGGACTCACAAGAGGTCCTACCACCAGTAATAAAGGGCACCACCAGGGCTTTGGCCTTAGCACCGGCAGCAATATAAAAACTTAGTGTAAATTATTCAAATATGAGTTTACGCAATGTCTTATCTTGTTATTTAATTATGAATCTGATAGGAGCTATGAAAGCCTTACAATTTTTAATGTTCACGATAAAATCTTCTTAATATTTCGAAAAATGTCTAATAATGTGTTATCAGGTGGATCAGGTAAAATCTAATTTAGAATTCAAAATTTCATTTGATAAAGTTTTGTATTGCATTTATAATATCTTTATTTTTCGGCTGGTTCATTTCTACATAAGCTTATCCTGAGTCAAACTATAGCATGCCAAAGAAAAGGCTTTAACGTGTATGTTGAAGGGAAAACATGAAAAATGACTCAGTTGTAGAGCACCACTAAAGTTTTACAAGAAATTTAGCACGCGACGTTTTTCCTTGAAACAAATTGGTTGCATTCGGTACGTGCTTCAAAAGCGATTTCCGGATTCGCGTCGCTCATTATTAATAACTCCATTTTCAGGTCTCAATGTAATTAATAATAAGCGTATTATATTTTTAAATTATTTATTACTTATCAAATTGACTATGTCATTTACTTTATTAATACGCTTTTATTAGCTTCAGACGTATGTATGACGTTTGAAACGGAATCTTTGAACATGATTTTGACCCCCTTCAAAACGTCGGATTAACTCGAAATTTGGTATACTTATTAAGGACAATTTAATATTTTAAAAAATTGAAAAAAATTAAATTTAACTATAAAATGAAAAATAAATAATACAATTTAAAAAAAGGCTTTTATAGAAAATCCAACTAAAAAATAAAAGATAAATTTTAATAAATATGAATTAAAAATAGTGTAAGAAAAAATGATTTTATTGTAAAAAAGCGTGGGGTGCTTTTCAGGCTGTTATCAAAATAACCCTTCTACTCATATCTGTTCATAAAATATTTATAACTGCTGATACCATACACCCCACGCTTTTTTTACAATAAATTTTTTTTTTCTTACACTATCTTTAATTCAAATTTATTAAAATTTATCTTCTATTTTTTAGTTGGAAAGCGTATTTTGTCAGTTTTTTAAACTATTATTAATAAAGATGACAGACGATTAGAAAGATTGTTGCAAACTTTCGAACAGCTGTTATTTTAATTTTAAACTAAATCTAAACAAATAAATTTAATTTTTAACGTAGGTATTTTTTATATGTTATCAGTAGCTACTAAGACATATCCTAGCTCTAAATCTCATCATTAAAATTTATGTTACGCAATTTATATTATATGTAGCGGCAGCTGCTTCTTAAAATATTTAGAAAAAAATATATATTATCAACACTATCGCATCGTGCGCTTATTGGAAAATCCGAATAGTTTCGATAGATAACCTCGGACGCGTGAATGAAATAAAAAATATACAAAGTAAAATTTTATATTCTTCATAAATTTTGGAAGTCATAGTCTAAACAGATTTCACGGACGTTTCAACTCAAGAACCATTGTACCCATTTGTAATGTTGGAAATTTGTTGATCAACTGAAAGAAAAACGAGTAATGTTGTATTTTTGTAGCTCGCGAGCTGCAGACATAATTAAAATTACTTTTACATGTTTAAAATCGCGTTTATTACGGACGACCGCGACCACAAAAGTCGTAAAGTATTCGAAATGGCGAAACTAATAAAACGTAAATTTTAAAAGCGAGAGCAATCCGTAAAAGCAGCTTTAATTGTGAGTAAATATTTAAATCAGTATACATTCGCAGATCAGCTATGATTATTAGCGTTCTTTAAATTGAATCTATCAGAGGCGCGATATTTCCGTGCTTTGTCGTTTTTCCTACCTACCAATAGCCTTGAGAGGCTATTTCAGCGTAACCTTAACTAGTAGGTGACCTGACGACGTTGCTAACACGAATCTTAGCAAAAGCCGTGCTTCGCAGAATCTACCACCGGATCGGAATCGCGACCCACTGAGAAGATCCGGCGAGAAACTCAGTGGGCTGTGTCTGTGGGTTAGTTTATCGATGATGACCGTTGCTTAAGGTACCTAAAAGCACCGTTAGTGGATCGGGAGGATCCGAAATGACGTGTTTTGGGCTTCCGTGCAACAACGAGAGGTCACTACCACGAAAGGACTCCATAAGTAAGTATTACGCATTCTAAGGATTTTATATGATCTGATAAACGAAGGGCCGGATTTTCGGTCCGAATAAATCTGACTTTAGGTTTGTTTTCAGTATCAATGGAGCGATGTAGTGGGTCGTAAAGTTTTGGTGCGGTATCTATAGGAGTTACTGTGCGATTTAATTTTCTAGAGTCCGTGCAGCTCCTCTTTCTCCTCTTGGCGTCGATAATCCTCAATGCTAAGGATCCTGGCCTGCTCTAATAACTTTCTCCTTGATTATCCTGCGCCACTCCTGCCTATCCT